GGTGATCCTGGTGTATGTTGAGGATAAGTTCAAATTAATGTAAAACAAAACAAAGGAAACTATTCCTGTTGAAGTAATGCTTTTGATTGTAATATCTAGGCTTCAACTGTCCTTCAAATGTGCACTTACACTGTTATCTGAATGTTTATAATAAAGAATATTGTACCTATATGGCTTTGGGCTCATTTTACCCTGTAAACCTCACAGCGGGAGTCGCTGCATGTGGGTCCTTAGGATGATCTTGAACTATCTCATTTTGAAAATAGAATGTTTTTTAAAGTCCAACATGCTATAGAGAAATTAGGTAATGATTTTAAATTCAACATCTTGGATAACTGGCATTAAATGTAGAATCTTGAAAGTACTTTGCTGTAACTCGAGAGAGGATATGCAGAGAAGCTTTTTCCCTAAATAGTAGCAAATATTAAGTAATATTGCAGTATATAAGAAAGAATGAACAATATTATTATTGTGAACATCTGTACTTTGCTACGTATTACCTGTCAGAAAAGTGTTAAAGAAAGCGAGTGAGGAAACAGCCTTAGTAACTTGATCAAGGTTTCGCTCTTCCTTTCTTTCTTTTTTTTTTTTAAGAAATGGAGCTCTTTTTCAAAAGAAATACTTTGTGAAGTTCCAAAATATAAGCAAATGAAAGACAAGCTATTCTGAGTTATTTATAGGTGGAGATCAAGCACCCTCCAGTTTAAGCTGTAAGTTTATTGAGGGCAGTGATTGTGTCTTATTTGTCTTTGCATCTCTCATGGTTCCTGACTATTCTTGCATCTAATATTTGGTATTGGCATTTCAAACACTAACTAGTACAGATTTTAAATATATCATGGTATAGACATAAACATTAGTCCATCTTAGAGTGTTTTCATTGTCGCAGAAACTTCACACATTTGTTTATCAGATGGTTCTTACGCATCAGCTACGACTAGGTGGGCACTGCAGTAACAATGACAACACAGTTCCTGCCTCCAAGAAACTTACCAGTTTGTGGGGGAAGATGAACAAGTAAACCAATAAGGGTCAGTGTGCTATCAGTTTGACAGGCTGCTGGGGAACCAAGGAATGACATTCCCATCAGGCCCTGGGTGGGTACCCAGGAAGGTCCGGGCCAACCCAACTTGTTTTCCTACCCATCACTTCCTTAGCAAGTCATTCCAGACATTCCTAAACCAGGTTAGATGCCTTTTCTCTGTAGTTCCATAAGGTGTGCTCATCAATGATCATTTATAAATTCCTTCAGCACACTGTTTACTTATCCACCTCTCTATCAGGCAAGGAGCTCTTTAAGGGCAAGGATTATATCTATTTATGTTCATTAACCAGCTATTGTTTGTTTAGAAAGGCATTTGGGTTTACACTGTAAAGGCAGAAATGGTATTTTTTCCCAGTTCCCTTATTTAAAAGTCAGCAAATATTTAATTCCTCCTCTTCAAAATAAAAATAATTGCAAGTCTCCAATTGCATGTCCAGTTACCATGCTGCAACTAATGGGGATGAGAGAAGCATGCTTAAAATTTCATTTGGAAATATAGTTGACCCTTGAACAATGCAGGGGTTCCAATCCCTGTGTAGTCAAAAATCTGCATATAACTTTTGATTTCCCCAAAACTTAACTACTTATAGCCTACTGTTGACCAGAAACCTTACCAATAACACAGTTGATTAGCACATATTTTGTATGTTATATATGTTATATACTGTATTCTTATAATAAAGTAAGCTAGAGAAAAGAATGTTATTAAGAAAATCATAAGGGAGTGACATAAACATCACGATGCAGTGAGAAGACTCTATTTCTCCCATTAAATCTACAACAAGTCAGACAACTATAACACAACGAAGGATCCCCTGCTCAACACAAACATGCCTGAGAGATCCACACATCAGTGCATCTGAAGGTGGCTTATTAGGAGTAGAGGAGGCAGGATGGGGGAAGGACAAGAATAGTGGCCAAACACAGCTGTGCACCCACTACAGCCCCAGAGAACGTGGTGGTGGTGAAGTTCCACTGCAGCCCTCATACTGTGGCCTGGAGTGTGAGAGCGACAGAGGTAGTTTCCCTCCAAGGAAAGGCAACTCCCTCCCATCCTCCCCATTGCATCAGAACCTGGTGATGTGACACTTAAACAGCACCGAGATGCCAGCAGCCATTGGTAGCAGGGAGACAGAGCTGTGAAATTGAGAACTTGCCCTGCCCATCCTGACAGAGCCCAATAGAGGTAGTGGGGACACCTCCAGCAACACAGCGGGGCCATTAGCAACAAGAAGGCAGTGCTGAGAGTCTGCAAAACCAGTTCCCACCTGCCACATTCCCCCACTATGGAGGTGATGCCAGGTAACTGAGGCAAGCTGGTCACAGAGGGGACACCCACCTCACCAGTGGGTATGTGGTATTTTCCTCAATAGAAGTGAAACCTCTTCACGATCCCAGAGGCACAAATAGCACTGGTAAGAGAAAATAAAAACGTGCTATAGCACCATCTACTGGAAAACAAAAGAAAGTACTCTACCTATCAATCTGCTGAATTGTTAATAGCAAAAGTTCACAAGGGAAAAGTTCACTACCTCAAATGTGCAGGCAGAGAACCAAACCATCAAGTACCATTAACAACCAAGGTAACATGGAAGTACAGAAAGGAAAAGTCTCCAGAAACCAAACCCAAAGTCATG